AGGAGTGTCTGATTGCAACCATAGAGCCATTTTGGAAATGACGAGTTGTTTAGCCTAAAGCTAGATTGTGTATCCGTAGTGGTGTGATACTGATAGTTACCGGATATTCGCTTAGTGTGTAGAGTAAAAAGCTGTTCCACTATGATGTTGCAGTACAGTGCGATCCCGAAATAGTCTAAAGTTGTTTATCTGCCCTTTTCGGGTTTCAAACTTATACATTGGAATCTACCAAACTATTATGAATATCTAAGGCAATGTATAACCTCCATCAATGACAATATTCGCTCCAGTCATATAACAGCAAGCGCCGCTGGCAAGGAAGACATAAGCCTAAGAAAGATGATCAGTCAGGATGAGTGCTTCAAGCTTCAAGAAGACGCTCCAACTAAAGATGGGCACACCCCTTTCAACTCAACTGGGTCACCGATCCTCCGTGCAGGCATCATGCTGAGCCATCGATCCATCAGCTCCTTTGGCTGCTGGGTGAGCACTGTCATATCATCAGTAATAACCACCAATTCCATTCCTACTAAAAGGCCTTACTCTTCGTCATAATAAACCCTGGAGAAATACAGTTCACGCGAGCAAATTCGGCCCACTCCACGGCTAGGCTCTTTGCCAAATGCACCGCAGCCGCCTTGGAGGCATTGTATGCAACTTGAGTTTGTGGGATATTAACTAGAATAGAGCTCACCGACGCGGTAATAATCAGGTTTCCTTTGCCCTGTCTCTTGAAAAAATGTTCCCAGCCGCCTGAGCTGTCCACATCACACCGTCATAGTTGACCCTGTTATCTCTCTGCCAGGTTCCTCAGTGTATTCTAGATTGGGTGAGTTGGTACAGACCCCGGCGTTGGCAACAACGACATCCAAGCGGCCGTGCCCGAACTCTTCCGCAACTTGGTTGATGGTTGCCGCGATGGTCTCCCGCGATGTGACGTCGGACTGATATGCTTTCACCCGGGCCCCGGTCTCTGTGGCAACTTTTGCAGCAGTTTTGGGGGCGTCGGCGCTGGAGGCGTAGATTAGGGCAACGTGGGCTCCGGCTTCTGCCAGGCCTCGGACCACCTCCAAGCCGATTCCCCGGGCACCACCCGTTACGGCGGCAATTTTACCTTTGAGGGAAAACTGACAAAGCACATTGTCGTGCATATTGGGCGACAGGTAGAGAGGCATTTTGTAGGGTTGATTCAAATAGAGGTATGCAAGGAAACGGGAGCTTGATTGTCGTATTGTTTGTTGGAGTTCAAATTCATGGAGCCCAGTGAGAGACTGAGAACTCTAATATATATTTTGAAGGACCCATAATGTGTCTTCCATTGCTAAGAACCAAATATCATATTCAAAAAAACGACAGATGTCCTCGGGTGATGAGAAGCAGATGAATTACCGAACAGGCAATATAGCCGAACAAGCTGGGTCTATTTGGCAAATCTCCCGACCCCGCAAAATGTGGTGACACAACTTCATGCATGACTATGCATCCCAGATCCACTCTCCGCGTGGGGGGCTAGTTTCTGATACTGCCTTGCTTCCTTGCTTCACTTTGAGACATACTACGTCCTCAGATCACCAATTCCAGTAATACAGCCGCTGTCTATTATTGATATGTCGTCCCCTCGGATAAGTCAACGATCAGGGCAACACAGGCGCAATCACGGCTTATCACGGGGTACTCCATACAATTCAAGAAGGGAGTCTCTTAGATCCCGCAAGGGTTGGTATGTTGCATTCTGGTTCGTAGGCACTTGTTGTCTGACAGGGTTGTGAGCTTAAACGGAAGATTGTGACGAACAGAAGCCCGAATGCGGCCAATGTCTCAGGGGTGGCCGTGCCTGTCACATCGTTGACAGCTTGTTCAAGCCACATTCTTATTCCTTCTTGACGTCTTGTCACCAGGACAGTGGCTCTTCGGGCCATAGAGAAAGCTCATCCCACAATCAAGATGTAGACGACGGTGGGGTGCAGGCACCGCCTCGAGGTAAGACTCCTTTGCCACGATTGCTATCGAAGAAGTGGGCTACTCTTTCATAGCAAATCAATTAACTTGCTTGGAAAGTCAGCTTCGTCCCTGAGCCGACACTCAGTACCCCCCGCCCAGGGAAAGAACTGCCTGCGTCCTCACCTCGATATGAAGAACCGAATGTTCCTCCTCGAGGGGTCTTGAGCAGTCCCTCATATGTGAATGAATTTCATGGACAAGAAGAAAATTTAAACTCTGTCCAATCACTTCTGGTTCAACATGGCTTATCAGCGGAGCCAAGTTCCCAGGATCATTTGGGTTATTATGCCCAGGATGACCCTACTCTTCCACCACCCAGAACTCCTGTTGGTCCCCCTAGCCTTCTGAACGGGGCTCCAGAAGACAATTACCAGGATCAGTGCGAGATTGCTTTTTTTCTACGACACTTCTGCGAGGCTTCTGGTCAGTGGATGGACGTGTGCAGCAATGGGCAGTCATACTTTGCCCAGCACATCGTATCACTATCAAGTATGAGTGCTCTCGTCAGGTACGCCGCTTGTGCTCTCGCAGCCAAGCAACTAGGGCAAATGAGAGATGCTGAAACCAGACTCCGTCAGACAGACAGCCGAAAGATCATGCTGCAAGGCTTCACGGACTCAAAATTAGATTTCTTATGGTACGGCGCTAAATATTACGAGAGGGCCATCCAATTACTTGCTCGACAGATTCTCATGAGGACCGTTCTGTTTGCCAGCTATCTCCCAGTGGCCATTTACCAGTCCGGTCTAACACCACAGGATAGTGATCATAGTCTCCTAGGCGAAAACGATAGCTCTGCAGCAGTTTTACGGATGGTAACGGCTTGTATACTCTGTCAATATGAGGATCTTAGCCTCACTGTGTCCATGGAGCATGGTCGGGCCATATAGATGGAGTCCTCAAATTATTTCGACCGTATCTTAGTGATGCTGTACCATTTCGGCCACATCTTCTGGTTCCAGAGCCACTGAGGGCGGTTGATGCGACATTCTGGTTCTTTACGTTAAATGACATGTTGGATGCTTGAGAGTTTCATTTTGCATATAATACGTCACTGAAGAGGAACACTGGTCTGATGTATCCACTTTACCCTCTAGATGTATCTCGGAAACAGACAAGACTAGACCCCGAAAACGCGTCAATGTGGCGCAAAATGGGTCTCCCCATGGATGACAATGGCCAATTGGCGATAGACAGCACACAGAAAGCACATATGGAGGGTTTCATGTTCAAATATCTGATCTGACTTCTATGTCTCTTGATCAACGCTCAATTGAACGATATCACCCAATGGAACCGTATCAATGGCGAACTGAACCGATGGCACCTTATGCTCCCCTCCTCCTTTTTTTCTCCTATCACTTGGCCTCCCGTGGCAGGCGAAAATAGCACTCTGAACTCCTCTCCCATGAATATTTTCTCCCGTGAGACATGGTATTCAAGTGACATCTGCGCCATATCTATGGCATTCTATCATATGGCCCGCATGCTCATGCTGATTAACCGCCCAGTCGAACGTTTCCTTCAACAATCCCATAACCAGTCAGGTATCCTCGCCACCTATCATACCCTACAACAAGATCTTCGCCGACATGCCGTGGAAATCATACCAATTGCCCGTGGGACTCCAAGTGAGACCGTGCGCAAGTACCTACTGCAACCACTTTATGTCGCAGGCCGATGTTTAGTGAGCGCCAATGATAGACAGAGCTTACTTGCTATACTCAAGGCTATAGATTATGACCTAGGTGTCTTTACCGGGTTTCGCCAGAAAGACCTCTCGGAGGAATGGGGTATTCCATACAAGGTGGTAGAGAGTCGTACTTGCTTATGATGTGATGCAAAAAAAAAAAACTACTTTATTTGTTCTCAGAGCGATTACGATAAACAATAGATCGTATTCTGTACGGAAAATGTACATATAAACGAATGAGAGAAGAATTTTGCTCAATTATTGGCTGATTTTCTCCTATGTGGCATTCTAGTCGCCACCATTTGAAGCAGGGTATATGAGGTCCAATGTAGTGATGTCATTCGCCTCCTCTACCACTATTAAACCAAACCAAACCCAACCCTCTCTTTACTCTTTCTTCTTGAAAGTGGATTTAATTTAATACATTCTGAACATTGGAGCAGTAACATCTCTAGGTTTTATAGCAATTGCCTACCTGCTTTGGCCCGAACCTCTACAATCAAGTACCAAGAAAATGGCTACAGCAACCGCATCCAGCCGCATCCCCAAACATGCGCCTAAGTTCGCTCCTCTGTCCTAACCCACATTTAATTTCTTATTCCAGGAAGCTGGGATGGAACTTCGGGCTAGAAACTATAGTAACAACAATGGCTACTGCAGAACGCGTAACACCGCGCTTCTAAGCATCTTTGGGGTAATCGGAGGAACCTACCTGATGTTTCGAGCGCTGTCCCCGAAACAAGATGGCTCTTTCGTCTCAGACGAAGAACGGCGGATGATAAGAGGAGGTGCTAATGGGACACCCTTTGGGAATAAAACCGCAAGGCCACCGCGGAATACTGCGGAGTGAAGGCTTGGACACCGGGTATTTGACTTCTTGTGGGATCGAGAAGTGATTATATGTTTCGAGGAAAAGCTAAATTCCTTGTTCAAGTTGAATATGCACAACTGATATTTTATGAAGAAAGGCCACCTCATGTAAAGAATCTCACTGCTAAACTTGGGGTTGCGAACATTTTACGGTCCTGGTGCTCTAGCATATATATTTCACGAAAATAAGTATGTATCCTTGTGCAACTGCTTCTATTATCCAGAGTCTATGCCATTGATGTATAAATACCAATCAGACTTGGTCAATTGGCTTGCTAAGTGATCTTATATACTCCCATACTATGTGTTTTACATGCAGATTCTCTGTCCATTTTAGTACCATCTGTTCATTTTAGTGGTACACTGGTAGTAAACGAAAAATCGGAATACATACCACATTCGAAAATCATTTTTAGTCAGGATACCCTCATCCGGTGGGGCAGTAGCTCAGTGGTTCAGAGTGGAAGATTGCAATACCAGCCTACCTGGCTTGGCGCAACCATCTTTAGGTCCCGTGTTCGACTCACGGCTGTCCCTCGATTTTTCTCCGTTCTCCTTTCGGAGAAATCGATTTTTGACAAAATTTTGGTTTTGTCAGTGTTCCTTCGCATTATAGACATTCACCATCCATAGATAGTTTTATCTAGTCTTATTTGTGGTTCGTTCACCTTCACGCAGGATATACTTAGTATTGCGTCTCGTTTCCGTTCTCTGTTCCTTGAGGCTTTCAGCCCGGGAATCTTGGCTCGGCAATGCTGGATCGGGTTCGGCACGGGCCCGCCCATTCATGAACCTTATCGTCAAGGCAGTCGACCAATAAATACACTGGGCTCTTCGAGCATTTCGACCGATAATAAAAGCTCCCAGTCCTTTGTACATTATCTACCTTAGATAATGACTCTGAGGCCTAATATAGTGCTGTCTTAAAATATAATTCGGCCATAGATTTCTAACTACGGGCGTAGATCAAATTACCATTAAAGGACAAAGGAAGAGATAAACAACACCGCTAGTTGAATTGTAGATGGATTGCCGAACTAAGTACATAGTATCAAATTGGAATACTCGAGACGCGAGACATAAACAGAATTACCTCAGATAGTGCAAGTTGATTGACAGGGCATATTGTGCCTAAAAGAAATGCTCCTTGTAACAAAGGGGGAAGAAGTCTATTGTCATAGCATTGTCAAGGTCAGTCTTGCAGGCACCACGATACTCGGATCAGGCCATTGGCTTGACTAAGGGGTAGACTTGTACAAGAAAGTCGAGCTTGGCCAAAAGGCTTGGTTGCGTGCACACCCACAGGGAGGTACGTGATGTACAGGGAGTCGAACATAACAAGCTCACTTGGATTTGTTCATCCCATTATTTAGTCGTCTCCGACGTTTCTGTATCGTGGTGATGAACTGGTCGACACTTACATAGTTCTGAGTTCTATCGAGTGATCATATGGAGATTCAACCCAAGTAGTTTCCCGCTCCAGGTCTGTCTAATACAGCTACGAGTTGCATCAAACCGCGGAATAGAGACGGTTGGTGTAGGAATAGCTTGTGCGATATTATGCCCCATTTTAAGGAGCAGTAGGAGCGTTGTATTCTCTGGAAGCTTAAAGGCCCTACGGGAGATTTCTTTAGGATCAGAAAAAGGACGATACATAAGTCTTTTGGCACAGCAAATTCAAAAGAGAAAAAGACAAGTGGGTCGAGACAGATATAGAGGGAAAGTGTCTATGTAGAAGCATACGTATAGAAGGTATGAATTTCGAGGTTTGAAGGTGCTATTTACATGTATTTCGCTTAAATTCAAGAAATCCTACAATGAAGACCAACTCTAACATTTTGATGAATCTTTTATTCCCTGTGGCTTTCGCTCGCTCGAGTACTGTTTCTCCGTGTATATTTTTTACGCGGGTATCAGCCTTTCCTATATCCAGTATCTGCTGCACAAGGTTCTCGTGACTATTATTTACGGCGTAGAACAGTGGCATCCGACCTAATTCATCCTTGGGATTAGGGTCAACCTTGCTAGTTGCTAGTAGTTGACTGGCTACTGCTTCTTCGCCACTACACATAGCAAATATTAGCGGTGTCCAGCCATTCCAGCTTTTAGTGTCGGGATCAACTTTTCTATTTAAAAGGAGCAATGTCTCAATGTTTGCATGCCCACCTGATATGGCGGTCAAGGGTGGCGTCATCCCGGTAGACGAATTTTTAAAATCAGGGTCAATGTTTCCGGTGGAGAGGAGCGATTTCGCAATATCTTTATGTCTATTTGAATGCCGTATATGAGAAACGTTGACAGAAGCAACGCTCTAAGATGTTGAGGTCGACATAGCCGTCTTTTAAGAGCAGCCTCACCACCGAATAGTTACCATACTCGATAGCATATTCTAACAGCGTCCTCCCACCGGGATCACGAGCTTTGATGTCAGTCCGGCCTGCACTGAGTAATATCCCAAAAATAGCCCTCATCTTCAAGCTCCATAGCATGGTAAGTTAACAACATCCTATCCTGCTCGACTTGCGCATCGATGTTAATTTTACCTGTTTCCAGAAGTCGCAGACAATAGCTGTTCGTCCATACTTTATGGCAAGGTGTAATGGTGTCTTCCATCACTAGTATTGAGTCAACCTGGCCAGTGGTTGTGATTCGTTCGACTATGACCTCAAGTCCAAATTTTATCGCAAGAGACAAAGGCGTTTGCTCATGCACTTCGCTTCCCAAGTTCAAAGTCACGTTGTAAACCGAGAGGAGGCAACCCAGGCGTTCATCGTCGTTGCTCCTTGCGGCTTAACACGTAAGTGATGTTAACTCCGATATAGCCATTGAGTGGGCAGGACCGTTTGTATCGCCTAGTATTGCTGAAAGCGCACCGACACGACGGGAAAACAAGAGTAAGCCAGTCAAAGCAGTCTCATTTTCGACCGCAAAAGATAACAAAGATTATGCGTCTTCATTTTGATACCCTTTCCTCGCTGAAGCAAAGCTGTGGCGTTTTTTTTATGTATTCTTTGAACTGTCCCATGAAGTCTCTCGTTGTATTGGAAGATCTCGTTCGGTCTTAAAGGTGCTCTAACGGCGGCGTCATTCCCATTCGCTAATGCAGCAAATATAGGGTAGTGGTAGCACTCTCCGGGTATACTAATATCGGAGATATCTTGTCGCACAGCTTCGATCAGGTTTGCGAAGTTATATTGTGCAAATATGTAAAGGAGGCTCGCGGAGTATATGATGGCGGATTTGGAACGTCTCAATCGCGTTAGTGAAGTGGATTCAAATTCGGAGGTTGAACGCTTCAAGAAAATGTTTCTGTTTGATTCCGCCCCCTTCGGCTGTATCTGCATGATATAAGTCATTGTGTATCGCGTATTCTAGAAATGGAAACTTCAGATTTTCAGCCGCAACTTAGCGCAGCACTCGGGTTTCTTCACTAGATACAAGTGGTAGTTCAGTGCTCCGAGGAATGTAGCTGTGGATGTCACTCAGGAGAAAGTTATTGAAGCGTTTCTTCAACCGATCGTAGCTTGAAGCGCTAAAATCACCCTGATACCTAGGTTAAAGTTCTTGCAACCCTTTTTTTCAAAAGGAAATCCCGTACGGACTCATAGATGAATTGAACGGTTTTGCCTCGAGTCTTCATAATCTCGGCCAGACCTTTGGAGATGCTCAGAATGAACCGGTCCATATCGTCTGAGTCTCACGCATCCGCCAAATTGTCAGGCTCCCCTGATAATATCGCGAAGTAGAGCTCCTGGCGCTTGAGTGGCCGTCGAGCAAATAAGATCCATTGGACGCGGGGTAGTAAGACATCCATATTCATATTATCTCTCGTCAAAATACTCTTGAAAATATTACTGAGCTTTGCCGGAATATCCCGTAGTCTTTTGCAAAGTGCATATAGGTGACCACGCTGAAATTCCCGGTTCAATATCTGCACAATAAGTACCATCCAGAGAAAGATGCCGGAGGTCTTCTCGAGTATCTCAAGCCTTATTTGCTGAGATTGCTTGCTCCGACCAATTTTCGGCCCGCTCTCGAGATCTCCGGTGATGTCCCCGGCGTGGCCTTCTTCATCCTCCAGGACCAATTCAATTCCTTTTTCTACGGTGATGTATGGGTAGTGACGACTCGAGAAGCAGACATAAAGCTGAGATCTGGATCTAATCGTATGCTCTCCGAAGGACTCAAAATACTCTACTATAGCCTGGACCTGTTTCTCTTCGTATTCATCAGGGGCATCGATGAAGCAGGTGAGGCTTTGGACCCCAAGAAATGTGATCGCACGGCGAAAAAGATGTTGAAGTACCTCAATGTTCCATAAGTGTTTTCTACCATAGTTGGAATAGTTTGAAGTGCCAAGCTCGTCAAGCAGGACCTGAAGTCCTGGGATGTTTCAATTAGCTGAAACAATAACGACCGGTACATCCCCAGAGTCAATCTTGGCAGTTCCTTACCTCTCACGTTGAAAAGCGAGATTATTATATGGTTCTCAGTTTTAACTTCAACAGCTTGCCAAAAAATTTTTATTTTAGTTGACTTGCCGCTTCCTGCTTACCCTGGATCCAAAGAAACCCGTGGCGTTCGGAAAGCTCACTGGTGTCAAAGCGAGTCCATATACTCCTTTTTCTTTAACAGCCAGGCACATGTCTTTACATGAGCAGACTTGATCGTCACCTGACGGCTCTCAAGCTGATCAAATTTCAAAGCATCCATGATCCGTTGGCGTTGGTCGCCCTTGTCATTTGTTGCAGACATCACAGAAACGGACACAGTTCCCACCCCATTGGTGCTTATTATGAAAAGAAGCTCTTTCGCGTAGCCCAGCCGCTTCCATCTCGAAACATAAGACTTTGAGCTCTGCCGCCAACTGGTCTCTTGTTTTCGCATGCTTTATCACTCGGTTTCCGGATGCAAATAAACCATGGTGGATCGCCAGCCGATTGTCCACACGAGGTGGTCGGGTAACAAGTCTCTGTCGGTCATAGCACTCACAAGTTTGCGCAGGCTCCTCGTGATCTTAGTTGGACTCGAATAGAAAGTCCCTTTGTGGACCGGGGCTCGTGTACACCTGCATCATCTGTGGATGCCTGGTCAACATCTCAGGCACAATGGTTGAAATTTGGCTGTCACTGCAGTGATGGTCTGCTCGTAAATTACCGACCGCTGTCAGTAAGGAAGTAGAGGGCTTGTTTAGTGTTCCTGCTCGCTCGAACCTCCCCTTTTAGAGAGTCTTTCCATAGTCATATTGCACAATTCCTTCGAATCGCGGTGTTTGGATACTAACCACCACGTCACCCAGCCGGATATCCCTTGATTGTGATCACAGGCACCCCTCCTCCAATGCCAATCACAAGCGAATGACATATTGATTCGAAGCTGAAGAACATATTGCTTGCCACTGTCGCTGCAGATGTAGTGCCATATACGCCGAATGGAAGGCAGGCAATAATTACATTGCGATTACTGATCGCCCCCAGGGTATACGAGTTGCTGTAGTGAGGGTGAGTGTTTAGATTGGGGTGGATATCGTCCAACAT